TTCCTTCGTCATTAGTAATAGCTCTCTCTCTCTCTCTCTCTCTCTCTCTCTCTCGTGCACAGTGAATCGACGCCTTCATTCACAAGGACCACTGGAAGAAAGGTGCTTGACTTTAAGCATACTAAAGGCAGCAACAGGCCCCCGGTGTAGCGCATCTGCGAGGCTAACTTCATGTTGCTAATAAGAAAAGGGAAGAACTCATAATGAATGCAACTTTCTTTGACCGGGGGTGTGGCAGATAAGCAAAGATACATCAAGATGTGTTGTGGTTCTCAGCTAAGCACATTTCAAGCTCGATGGAGGATTACTATCTGCAGATCGCAGCTACTTGGATGTCTGCATGTGTAGTTGTTATTTGTAGCCGGAACTAAGATGAAGGAGACAACAGTGGTGTGGATATGCGGAGTGCAGAGAAGAAAGAGGAGAGAGGAGTAATGTGTGAAGGGGTAATTAATGTGTGATAGGATATCTAAATCCAATTATGGTTTGCAACTCAATTATTTTGCTACTGTGACATACGATTTTTCATGTCAAAAAGCCAATGCAAGACATAAAATATTTTCATAGTGACATGATCTATGCCAGACTTGGATTAATTTCATGGTTGAAGAACAAGATCTCTATGGATAATAAGCTCATCATACCAAATCCCTAACTTCTCTCTTCTTAGTCTTTCATCTACCCATGCCCATTTTTCACCGTAAGTGATGAATGGATGATATCATGTTGGTGGGGTATTCCGGATGTTTATGGCTTATAATGTATATGTTAGTCATTTACTATATATATATTTGTATGATATGGTTATTACTTATTTTCTACCAATTGTATGATAGTTATATTTTCATGAATTATATTATATTAATTTTTTATCTTTAAATTTGAATTTGTATGTTTCTTGTCTAATTAATTATGAAGATAAAAGAATCTTTCAACATATAATATGTTCAAAAATTTGTTCATCCTGTCCTAATATTACGTTGATTTAAAATATATTTTTATTTATAAGTTACTTTCTCATTCGATCCTGGTCTCATCGAACCAATTCGATCGATCTCGTTGATCTCAATGGCATTGTTTTATGATATTGTTTTAGGTGGGTTATTTAGCTACTAAGAATCAATGTTTAGAAATTGTAAAGATTTCTTGTAATGAGATCATGTAAAATTTCAATTCTCAAAATAAATATATATGTGGAAAATACTATTGAAACTTAAATATCTTAACCATTAATTAGGGTTTATTTATTATGGGAGACTAATTTAACCATTACAATAGCTTTTAAGTCTCAGTCAATTTTAATACCTTTATGGGCTCGTTGTGGTCAATCTCTTTTCATAGGCAATTCCTCTATTTTGATTGGAACAGTCCTTAAAATGACACGACTATGAATTAATAACAACTAGTCGAGAAGATATGATGAAGATTTCACTTTTAGGAATAATTTTACATTTATAAGAAGAATATTTACCTGATTTGAATTAGTTGATTTAAATTGGGATCAATTGAGGAAAAGACCTTAAAAATAGGAAATTGGAAAGACTAGATTGTTTGCATACAAGTGCTATAATCCCTAATTGTCATATGATTTGCATATAAGATATCAAAAACAGATGTGATATAAGCCATACAAGAAGATCCAAAGTCCATTAGCCAATTGAGATGGAGATTTGGCCCAATATGGTTATGATACTTCTCTAAACGACATTCAAATTAAGCAATGGGCTATGCAAAAACATAAAAGTATCTGAAAATATATTCTCTTTGTGATATTTACTATTCAGTGATACTAAATCCTTAGCAATAGTTTACATTATGCCAATTACTTTACATTATCAAAGATAATATTTCTCTTAACAATCTATATAATACCTAAAACATTGGCCTTAGGATTCAAAATCCCATCCAAATAAATTTGAACATGATGTACATAATTCATTTACGAAAGATTAGAAGTTTGATAACTCATGTGATAAATTATTTTTTCTAACCCAAATCCAACATCGGAATAGAGGAAATAATATACAATGGCAACCAAAATTTGGCTAAATACCAATAAATATAATTAACAAATATAATTATTATTTAAATGATGCCGTAAAATTATGCGTATAAATTGAA